CCCCCCCTAAAGGTTCTCACAAATATTTTGGTCCATACCTAACAGTCAAAGTTGCTGTCCTCCTTTGAAAAACAAAGATTACCACTCCCTATCTCAATTCTCAACCCATCCAGCCTTGTTATATTTTCAAAAGCAATTGTAAATTAAATGTTCTATACTCTTTTATTGCATATCTGCATTCTGCATTCTGCATTGATTCATATATAATATTGTGTATCAATTCCTTAAGTTTAGGATATATTATTTTCTGGACAACTAGTGAGCACCTAGGCACCAACTAGCCACCAACCCCAAGTTGTCTTTTGAGGCAACACAACTAATTGTTTCCTCACTGCATTCAAATCACTGATCAATGTGTGGGTTAAAGAATACTATGTGTTCGCTAACCAATATTGAAGCTGAACTTGATTATATTTTGTGCAATTGGTAAAACATCATTTTTTATGTTTAGACATATAGACTTGACAGAAATTATCAAAAGAAAAAAACATATAGACTTGACTGATCTCTTTAAAACAAATAATCTTACAATTTATTATCAAATCCATGACTTGATTCTGTTCAACCTTCTATATGAGTTAATACTTAATAATTTTCAGAACAGCAATGCTGTTTTGTGTCAGACACTCACGCTCCAAGGGTATTGGGAGGGGTGGACTTGATACAGACCTAAAATAAAGTGACATTCTTTTAATGTGTTAACAATGTCTTTATTGATTAGGAAATAGGCTGGCCTTTCACCACCTAACCGTTATTTCTTTACATTACATTGCTTCTTCCAAATATCCTTCATTTTCTACCCCCAATACATTTGAACTCTGTTTGCCCTTGCTTGGCAAGTGAGTTACCCATGCAATTTTCGGATCTATGAAGCCACGTGCTTGAAATAACCCTTTCCCTATTATTTGTTTGTTTTCTCTCATAATGTGTCTATGCTGCAATGTTCCATGGCTTTTGTCTTGTATCCAGCCAGTTATTACTTTTGAATCTCCTTCTACAACTATCATTTTTATATTCATTCTTCCCATCCTTAGTTCAGATAAAACAGCCTACAACTCAGCTGTTGTAGAGTACTCCATTCCAATAGGTCCTGAAAACAGTGCTACTACAGCCCAAAACCATCTCTGCAGACACAATCAATACCTGAGATACCTGGGTTCCTCATGCTACATCCATTAAAGTTTAGCCAAATCATATCCAAATATGGTGGAATCCACTCTCTTCATGTGATAGTCCTTGTGCAAGTGGAGTGAGCCACAACCTTCCATCCTAGGAGAATGTCACCCTTCAAGAATGACACAAATATATCCAAAGTTTTGATCCAGTAGATCACTCTTACAGAGATCATTTCTATGATTGCTTCCTTAGATAGCTTCTTCTATTCAAATATCCTTGCATTTCTTTCTTCCTAGATAGTCGAAAGAATAGAAGCTCTTCTATATCTCCACATGATCATTCCCCTTTTCTTGGTTGGGTTGAAAAATCAGTACTCACATCACAAGGTGGGGATTACCTGCTACCAAAAGGAGCTAGAAATCAGTCCTAATGCCAAGTAATTGGACAGGAGATTAGCAAATAGATTGCATTTTCCATACTTGCATCACACTGAAAGCATATGTGATTAGAGAGACCAATTAGAATTTTTTCTTTGTAGTAACTCACAAGTATTGATCTTCAAATAGAATATCTCCCAACAAAAAGCCCTAATTTTTAGTGAAACCAGATAGATCTAATAGGGAAAAATGGTAATGGGAGCATTTTGGTATGCCAAAAAAATCCAGAAAGAAGCACAAGAAAACAAACCTGAAGGAGTCAGCATACAAACTCTAGAGTTAGACATGGAAACATGGAGGCATTGAAGAAGACCCCACCCAAAAGACGCAGAAGAGAATCAACTTGCTTAGATCCTTCAAACCTCTTCTTAAAATCTAGATTCCAAGTGAGGTTGCATTTGATAACACTTTTCAGATGTCTAACCTCTGAAAAACTTGCTTATCAGAGGTAAGGGCCACTCACGTCTACTTCTATTGTCTAATAAGAGAAAAGATGTCTGAAATGGTAAGACCTAGTCTCGTGTCTTACCATAATCAGACACATTTCAAAGGTGATGAAGTGACATTAATGCCCTCATTGCCATCATCTATTTAATAATAAATAATATTATTATTGTTTTGTTTCAATAAATAATAAAAATTATTTAACAATAATAGTCAAAATAATATTTATTGTTTAATAATAATATATTAATATTACTATTAAATATTTATTATTAATTAAATAATAAATAATATTATTTTTAATTTAAATAAATTTAATTATTATTATTATTTGTCTTCTTCAATAAAATAAAATCCAGTGAACTATATTCACATCACTATTTGATCAGTCACATCATTTTTCAGAAAAATGACTAAGTTCATTAGAAAATATTGTTCACTCATATAACCCAAGGGCATACATGTAATTTATCAATAGATCAGCTCATAAATATAGACATAAAAAGAATGCACAAGCAGGGACAGGACCTAAACAAGCAATCATGCCAAATGGGTTCATTCTGTAAGGGCATGCAGCACTTTCAAGATTTGGAGAGATTGGAGGATAATTGTATTCTCAAGGGAGAAAATAAAGAAAAAGGAGGGAACTTGGCCTCACTTGTTATTGAAGAACTCTATCCATATAAATTTACAACTGTATTATTACCCAAGATAGCAGAACCAATATGAAATATGAAAACAAGATGCATAATGCAACATCAGACATGAAAAGGGATCATGAACATACAAGAGTATCAATTTGAGTTATAATGTTTGCATAATGCAATGCAAGACCAGCAGACCCCAATCGCTGGTTATTATTGGATCCCTTTACTGGTTTATCACCATCTGCAAGTAGACCAAGAATATTAGCTTAAAATCAGCAAGTAAAGTAAACTCATGATAAACCATGCAGTGGGGACAACCATGGAAATGAATGATGATAATGTAATACACAAAGTGAATGCTATAAATATAAAACTCTGAAAATTAACATTAAACCATGGCAATGGATGGGAAAGCTAACAATATGGGACCAATTTGACATACAAAAATACATACATGATCAGATGTATGTACATATGCACATGCACAAATCATAGTTATCACAACATATAGGCAATTCTAGGTGCTACCGGAGTGCCAAATTGCCTAGCACACACCTAAGTTTCACACAGGCTGTAGAATTTGACAAATAAAAAACCTAAATTATATGTTAGTTTCCCAATTCTATATAGCAATTAGCAACCAGAAAACACAAAATTTGAAAAATAGCAATTTTTTTTACTAAATTACAATGAACTTTATAATAAAGCACGGTAAATCATCACACCAAAAGGATAATAATATTGTAAGTCTATTAATTTCAACATTTCAAACATAATATCACAAAAGTTAAGCACCTAATGAAACGTCTACAAGTCAAAAATTATAAACTAAAAATTGCTATAATTTTTACTAACAAAATAGTTAACAGAATGATAAAAAAAGAGAAAAAACACAAAATCTATGGAACAGAACCCTTGCTATTTTTAATGAGGGAGAAAGAATGAGTGATTATAAAAAAATAAAAAGAGAAAAAAAAAGGCGTGGGGCCCTCTTTCTCTCTCCTCAAAACCTCTGGGTCCTTTGTCTTTCAATAGTAAAACCCTATTATGAAACATAGACAATAGATTTTTTTTCCTTAAAACGGGCCACACAACAGGATGTAGTGCATCATCCAAACTCCACAGCACCCCAACCATGGTGAAGGCAGGATTTGTTCCCAGTCTCAGCTACAACCAGCAGGATGCTTTACTAGCAAGCTAGTTGGCATCTGTTTTTCTTGATAAATCAAGCTAGTTAGTTGGCATCTTCAAACATGAATAATACATAAAGTACGTAAAAAGATGTATCAACACACATAACTCATTAGGCTCAGGCTCAAACTCCCCTTAACAGCTATAGCAACATGCATACACATTCAGAGTGTTTGTTTTTCTTTTTTTTTTCTTTTTCTTGTTCTTTTTTTTTTTTGTGGGGTGGGGGAGGTGCAAAAGAGAGAGTTGATCCATTTAACTACTAAAAACATCTCGTAGACCTTTTCTTGCTATTTTTTTCTTTCAGATGCTAGTAACAGTCCTTATACGTATGCTAGCATCAAATAAATGTTATTATGGTATTGCTTGAGAATTTATTTTAAACTTCAGTTGTTCTAACAATGAACAAAATTGACAAGGGGCTTTCCAAGGTTAACGTTGTGATAATAGTTTGGCAAGGGGTGTATCGCAGCGGGCAGTTCCATTATTGAAGGAGAATGGTGGTGCTCAGGAGTTGGGTGGGATCTCCTAGGGGGACAAGGATCAAAGATAGCTCTGAGAAAAACAAGATGGTTTCTCAGTCTTTGGAGGGAGGTAAGATTGCTGAACAGGGTGAATCTAGTTTATCAGGCAAGAATCATCAAGCTGCTGGCGGTGGAGGTGGGTTCCCATCAAATGATGGTGTTGTATACAGTATACAGTGGAGTTTCACGTTACAGTAAAAAGATTGAAAGAGTTATTCCCTCTAAAGACAGTAAGGTGGTCGGCTCAAATGGTGGCTTGGGTGGTGGCAGATCGGGTCTTTCAATGCATTAGGCTGCCTTAAATGAGGGTTTGGTAGGTGTTCATGATACCAATGTTCACTGGTCGGGACAATGTTGGGCCCATGGCAGAGATGGAAAATCCAACTTGGAGACCTTCTATGAGCTTCCTGCCAGTAGACTAGGGGTTGAGTTGGGTGGTAGAAGGAATGTAGATCATGGGGCCTTATCAATTCCAACATTCAAGGGGCTGCTGCTGAGAGTGATAATTCTATGCTACAGGTTTCTGATTCTAAAGGCTCAATTAGTTTGGAAAAGGAATCTTAGATGTGAAAAGCATTTGAAGGGGTAGAACCCAAGATTGGTTCATATCACTAAGATCTTTTCTCATTGAAGAGGACTTTATGGGGTTGGCACTTATAAAAAATTAAAGAGAATCTACAAGAGGAAGATTTTGAAGGGTAATACTATATGTGCTATAGCTGCAGAGGACCAAATGTCTCTTGTAGTGTCTCCACTTTGAATGATAGTGTTGGAGCCTTGGAAGTGAAACTTTGGTAGTAGAAAGCATGTTAAAACGTGAGTTTGGGGTTGGCGGTAAAGAGTATAATTTAGCACCAAAAAATCTTTTGCATGTTTTGACAGTCTAGGAGCTCAGCTTTGAGGTTGGTAATCTAGGAACCATAGTACATGTCCTGATGTTGACTATGTAGTTAGAGATTGCGAAACAAATGAAGATGGTAAGGCATTGGAATTGGGGGAGGGATGTGGACAAAGAAATAGAGGTTGCTAGGGGAATGGGGTTGTTCTTCCTAGAAAGTGAGGAGAATGAAAGAAAAGTGTTTATGGAGTTGGAACAGGAGAGATAGCAAAATATTAGCTCCATATTGGCAGAGAATCCAGCATCTAGTTAATCAAGCGAGCCAATAAAGGAAATCTTAAGCAAGTGAAGGAATAGAAAATGGAAATGAAAGGGGTGCTGTGAAGGTCCTGGAGGATCAAGGATGAGGTGCTGATGGTCAAATGAAAGAACGGACCATTGTTTAGGGCATATTTCCGGAGCTATTTACAGGGTGGTCAGGGGTTTTTTGAAACTTTTTTTCTTATTTTGCCCAGATGTATATCGGCTGAGAAATTTGGTAGGGGCTTTGATATATAGGGTATTTATTAGGATCAACTTTTTGTTTTATCGACTTAATTGATAGTGACATCATGATGTCTGATGGGGGTGAGTAGTAGGTGTTTTTGACTTTTGGGTTGCTTATTAGATTGTATCCATTTTCCCATTTCTCTTTTAATAAGCTTTTATTGACAATAAGAAAAACAATGGATAAAGTTAGCATGCATTTAGGAATACAAGCGGGAACTTAGTTTAGTCCCAAATACAGACCCGCACTACCAAAGGCTTCATGAATCTCAAGATGTAAGAGGTGAACAATATCAACAAGTTTCTCCATCACCTGCATAACATGGGATTAGATTGTTTAGGAACATTATTTTCTCGGAAATGACTAGCCCAAGAAACTTCATTAGTTAGGCTCTAAAGAAAAAAGAAAAAAAAAAAAACTTCATTAGTTAGTTCCTTGGTCTATAATATATACAAAAGCAATTGATGATAAATGTGTTCTAATCAAATGTTTTTGAAAATTGGGAACAAGAATAATAGGTACCTCTACTATTTATCAAAAAAAAAAAAAGAATATAGGTACCTCTTCTAAAATCTTGGACCAGAGTGATTTTTTCTTTAAACTTCTTACATGCTTCTTTTGGCTTTTCAATTCTGTTCTTAAGATAGCTAGGCTGTCTCCTACATATCAAAGGGGTAAATTTTCAGTTACAGACAGAAACATCATTAAAGAAGAAAGAGATATCAAATTTAAGAGATGCTCAACATTCCAGATAATTAAGTAGTTCTAAGAAACTTCAAACCATTTCACTTTCTCATTCAGAAAATTTGTCAATCCTTTTCCCCTCCTATTTTTCCCCCTCACTGTTTGTAACAAGTAAAACATCTTATTTGTTAACTTTAAACTGGGAACACTTCCCACAAGAAAAGAAGTTCCATTGTTTTTAAGTAATTACAATCGTTATCCAAAAAGAATCTACTTTCAAAAGTATTTAGAAAAACACAATAATTAGTGACCCAGAAGAATGATGCATCACAACTTCCACCAACATTGTTATAAATTTATATATTTACTTCACTACTGAAGTCACTCTGCAGCATTCCAATTCACATATTAGAGACGCAATAGAAATTTACCTCTTTGAGCAATACTTGAATTATCTTCTTCCTGAAGCTTACGTCTATAATCTTGTTGAAATCTGTCCAAGGCATGTAACTCATGGTATAATTCCTGAGACCAAAGAAACAGAAAAAAAACAAAAGAAAAATCCAACAAATGAATTCTGAAATTTAACACCAGGCCATGTAAGATTAGACATTTTCACATCAAAAAGGGAAAAAGTACAAACTAAGATCTCTACACAAACTCAAATTTGAAAATGGATCTACCTAGTACTTTGCCCATACTACCTTGCAGTAATATTCCAAAAAGGCAGAGGCAATAAAGTCATGAATTGGGTACAATACAGGGTGGGATCATCCCAACCAGTTTGAACTTTACTAACCGGTAGAAAAAGATAATCATGATTGAGCTAGAACCTTCTACAACTGGGTTGAATATACTGGTAAAGATAAGGATTAAAAGGGCATCAAATCAGAAAAGTTAATGCAGAAGGAAATGAGAAAACACCATTGGAATTCCACAAGCTTTAATTCATCACATATAAAAGCCAATTATCACATTACAGCCATAGATTATCCAGAGCAATGGTGTCAGACTAAGACCAGACCTGATGGTCAGACCACCAGAACTGGGAACTTGCCTGGTTCTTAGAAATGTTGACTTGGTGAAATAAACTTTATTTACATGTATTAATATGCATCATACCCTTCAATATTTATTTTCTTGAGCTTATTTTGATGTAAAATAGCTTTAAAAGAAAATACAGAACCATTCTCAACTTTTTTTTATCAGCAAGAAAATTGAAAATTATATTAAAATATGAATCTGGATATTACAATAGTGCCTACAACAACTGTTGCCTATATACACTTGTTTTGCTAGAGTATTGGCCATCCCATTTGCTGTCCGTCTAGCCCAGTTGAAAGGTATGTTCAGCTCCTGTGTGATGCTCTCTATTTCCCTAAACTCATGCCTATAGATCCATGGAACGAACTGCTTACTCCTGGCCCAAGAAATGATCAGCTTGGAGTCTCCCTCCTTCCTTTTTTTGACCACCCAAGAGCTCCTACTCCTTTAGCCACGTGGTGCCAATCCTCTTTTATCTCACTGTCACACATCACCCACCCCTCCACATCATCCTTGTCTTCCTCCTTTCTCCTACCTCTCCATAACGTTGCTTTGGCTACCAAAGCTACCCAGACGTAGTACTTATAACCTTCTGTGAGCAGTTGCAAGGTTCTTGAAATCAATTTTGGCTTTACTCCAACTAATTGGAGTTTAGCAGCATGAAGTTTGCTTAGATTAACAGGTTACAATGCTTCACCTAAAATTTTTTCTATTCCGGTTAATGTGATTTCTGTCCAGAGGTGAAACGGCAACCTCAATAACTTGATTATAGTAGCTCCCTCCTTTGCTGAGGTACTATTCAACAAGGGACACCAGCGTCCAATCGTCACCCGTCCTTCACTCACCTCCACTGTAGTAAACTCCATTTTCTCGTCCCCTATATCCAGGATAGCTTTACCCTCCTCATACGGTCTTGTATAATCATTTCTTTAATGGTCAATGCCTTCACTGTTCTATCGGGATCAAGTTCCAATCTGAATCTCTCTTATTTGTGGTAACAACAATTTTTTTATTCCAAGCTTCTCTAATACTTTCCAGAGAAAGGCTTGGAATCACAGACAAGAACTACAGCAAATCTACAGGATCGTCAAGCTCTTTTATCTTTTGTTCAGTCAACTTCATCTCTGCTTCAGCATCTTTTACAAGAGTTTCTTTCTCTGCTTTTTCCTCCCCCAACATTTTCTCTTGCACAATTTCTCTGATTGTAACGTTTTCCTTCACCTGTCTGAGGTCTCCTGTTTTTTCCAAGAACTGTTGTAGAGCATCAGCAACTAGCTTCCAACCGGAGCAATTTTTTCCTTATGGAAAGCATACCATTCGTCTTTTGCCTACTCCAAAAGATTCAATTAGAGTTACACATACTCTTTTTTTTATTTTCTTTCACTTCATCAGAATAACTGGTGTTTTCTTGTTTGAAACCCTCTGGTAAATCTGTCTCCATGAGTGAATGGTTCCTTTGAGGAACCCTTTGAACCAAAGGACTGATTTCCCTTTCAGCAGCACTGTTGCCTTCGAAACTTCAATGACTTTCACAACTGCACCTTTTCTTTTTCTCATTTCCTCCAGCACAAATTTCTTAGCCTCCACTTGAAACTTTCTTCTCCACCAAGCAGCCTGAACAAAGCTCTCTTCTCCTCCAGCATGAGTGAAGCTCTCTTCTCTTGCCATTAATTAATAAAGTTTGAACATAAGTTTTTCAATTCCTATACACGTTCATTAGCTATCAAGATCCAATCCATGATCTGACATCCCAAATAATTGCTTTAAGTGCTCAACAAACCCTTAGCTATTTCTTCAACTTTTTTATTTTTTCACTTTTTAGTTTTATGAGTTCAATAGTTAAATGTAACAGTTAAACCATTTGAACCAAATCAGTTCCTGTTCTGTTCAAGTCTGATTACATTGATCCAGAGTTTCTACATAAACTAACAGAAAATTAAAAGATTGATTTATTTCAGCATAGTGTAAGCAACGGGCTCAAAACTCATGCTTCCAAATTAACTTTGAATTTATTGATCAAAAAGAAATATTATTGATAAAAAAATTAACTTTGAATTGCAGATAAGTTTCCCATTGATTAGCATAAACAAGTCAGAATAAAAAAAAATGCTTGTTGCTTCTTATCCCACTGATAGATGAAATACTCACAGCTGTGTATTGAACCAAGGTCATTAACTGCTGCACCACTCCTGGTGCTTCTTTTTTCAATTGTCTTTGAGGGATAAGTTCTGTTCCCAGCCTAAAATATCACAAAAGGAATCAAAACAATGCCATGTCAGAAACACATTTAAAATTTACTAAAGCAGAATAGCTAGTGAAAATAACATAAATTAACTATACTTCTCAAAGTAACGATCTAGATTGTGCCATTGAGGATCTTTACAGCGATTTCCAAAACGGACAACTTCTCCAGAGAAAACCTTTAACTCTTCCCTGCATAGTGCATACATTGTATAACAAACCAACAAGGTCACTCTTCAATAAATAAAGGTACACATTGCAGACAAATTTTCAGTTAAACAAATTAACATTAATATGAAATATAGTAAAAATTTCTCCATCCCCTTTGGGGTTGGAATTGAGAAGGGGTGAAGAAGACAAAAAGAGTCGTGAAGAGAAAAAAAGGGGTTAGTTTTTCAATTGATGAAAGACTAAAGTGAATGGATTTTGTTTTCTGTATCTGGGAAGAGGAAGTGAATGGGTTTTGTTTCATGTATTAGGGGGACTGTTCAGATTTGTTCAAAGGAAAGTTGAGATGGGGGGGGGTAAGTCAGAGGCTTCAGGTGTCTTCTTTTGGGCTTTGTTTGTGGCTGGCTGTCTGGCTGTGAGAGTCTTGTTGGGTGTGGTTTGTGGTTGGTTGTTTTGTTAGCTTTTAGGGGTGGTTTGGTTGTTTGGGGTTGGGTGATGCCTTGTCACCTTTTTGTAATCCTTTTTCTTTAGTTTAATAAATTTTCTTCTTTATTTATCTTCAAAAAATATATAGTCAAAATTTAACATTTCTGTACACCACCTCTTGTCAGCAGCAGCAATCCTCAGTAGTTGATCCATGTCTTTTGATACTAAATGTTGCACACCTTCTGAAGGAAGTACCACTTCTTTCAGATGCTTTATATTTTCCTCTGAAAGGGACTGCATAAGATTGGCTCCCTTAACAATTGTGTTTGCAACCTCAAATGCTAAAATTGAAATTTTGTTGCCTTTTGTTGTCACCCCAGACACAAATCCACTATTATTCAAATTTGTCATGCTACTTCCAAGTGTGTCCAAGACCTCCACTGCCTTCCCAAGCCCAGCAGTACCAGCTCTACCCAAAAGTGAGCTCACCTCTGAAACCTGTTAAGACAGCAGGAAACTATTAAGAGAATCCAAAGAACATATACATGAAATCAATCCATTTTTTTCCTTTTTTAGGTGATCTGTGAAGAGTATACCTTTTTTTGTAAAGAAAGAAGGACAAGACACTACAGAATTGATTGTTTATGTGGATGACATAGTTCTTATAGGTTCGTAAGAAGAAGTCTACAAATGCAAGAAGTTCCTAGCTGAAGAATTTGAGATTAAAGATCTGGGAAATCTGAAGTACTTTCTTGGGATTGAAGCGGCACAGTCTAAGGGGATATCTATCTTAACAGAAATATATATTAGAGCTACAACATGAAACAGGAAAATTAGGAGCCAAGCCTCTAATACACCTATTGATCTAATTTTCAAAACCACAAATTAAGTGGTTTGGATCATAGTTGTCAAGGCGTCGCTTAGGCGCAAAAATGACAAGGTGAGCGCCTTTTATAATATCAGTTATATTGCTGTGTCTTATTAATGTATGCGTTAAAAGATTTTATTACATATATATAGATATATATATATATATATTATACCTTGTTTTAATGTTTTACCATTGAAATTTAAAAGATCAAAGGGTTTTGAGGAGAGTAAAAGAAAGAAAGAAAGAAAGAAAGAGGAAAGAAATAATAGAATTACAAAGAAGTTTTTTTTTTCTTCTATTCTCTTTCTCTAATTAAATAAAAAAGAAACTCCATCCTTGTTTTATCTATTTTACTTTCCATCTTAAATATTTATATAAGAAGTTAATAATCTTCTTTAGCTGCTAATTGATATGAAATTGCTCAGTTAAATACTTATTATAGTAGTACTATTTTTGAAAATAATGAAATTAATAGTATGTAATAGATTTTTATCTTTTAGATGTGATAATTTGCCACATTTTTAGAGGAAATTTAATGTTCTTAATAAAGAGAATTGCTATTTTTTCAATTAATATACATGCTGAATGGTATATAAAACTATGTAACTAGCCAAAAGTTAGTTTTTTATATTATAAAATTTTTATTGCCTAGGCGACTAGGAGACTAGGCGCCCCAGTGTCACCTAGAATCGCCTAGACACCTTGAAAACTATGGTTTGGATGGTGAATTGCTTGATGATGTTGGAAGTTTCAGATGTCTCTAACAAGACTAGATATATTTCACTTCGAGTCTCACATCTTGAAGCTGTTGAAAGAATTTTAGTGTACATCAAGTCCAGACCAGGCAAGGGGCTAATTCACTAATCAAGGCCATTTAGATATGGTAACCTACACAGATGCAGACTAGGCAGGCTTGGTTGTTGCAGGGGGGAATCCAGTTACTTGGAAAAGCAAAAAAGAAAGACATTGGTAGCCAGATTCAGTGCATAAGAAGAATATAAGGCAATGGCTCATGGCATCTCTGAGCTTTTGGGCATCAACAAGATTCTTGGAGATTTTATTCATCAAAATAAAAAGATTCTTGGAGATTTTGGTGTTCTAGTTTATCAGCCTACAAGATTAGATAACAAGGCAGCAATTAACATTCCACATGATCTAGTTAAACATAGACTTCTTTTATCAGTAACAGAAGCAAAATTTATTACATAAACAAATTAGAGCATGTACAAATCATGGGTAGCTTCGGCTGTCCCCCTGAAAAACAAGACTATCAAAAAGAGAACTAAGAGCCTTTAAATCTTTAGTCTTACAACTGATCCCAGAAACAATGTGCCCTGTTAACCCCTTGTTTTGCTAACTGGTCTACTAGACCATTAGCCAACTTATCACTACTTTGAAATCTCCTTCAACTACCAGCTTTCTCACCCCCAACTCCATAGCCTTTTGTGTTCCAAAAATCACTGCAGCTAGCTCCACTGTTACGAAATCACTCAATCCAAAATGCATATCCCTTGAAAATCTTCTAAACTTTTTAATTTCATTTCTGAAATACCAAGGATCTTTTCATTCTGTCTCAGCCAGCTTATCACTACTTTGAAATCTCCTTCAACTACCAGCTTTCTCACCCCCAACTCCATAGCCTTTTGTGTTCCAAAAATCACTGCAGCTAGCTCCACTGTTACGAAATCACTCAATCCAATAGGGCCTGAATACAAACCCACAATATCTCCATTTTCATTTCTTAAAACCCGTCCAATTCCAGACGGACCCGGATTCCCAAAATTGCTCCCATCAAAGTTTAGCTTAAGGAAGTCTAACTCGGGGGGGTCCCAATTCCTTAAAGATTTCTTCTTAGCTGAGGATAAAGCTGCAATTGTTCCCTACTTCTTTACTATGTCATCAAAAGTAAACTCTGAAAATAAACTCAATGACTTAACTCAGAGAGCCACTTTTTCCATGATCCCTTCTATTAGAGCTTCCTTCTTTTCTTCTCCTCAAAGATTCGCTTATTTCTTTCTTCCCATAATGTCCAAACCACTGCTGCCCTCGTACATCTCCACAATAGCCTTCCCCTTCTTTTGGCCAACTAAAAGTAGAAGTGTCAAACAACCTGTCTAAACTGTCTCGGGTGTTCCACCTACACCCAAAGAAGGATAAAAACCAATCCCATATACAGCAAGAAAAGGAACAGGAAATGAAAATGTGATGAGAAGATTCATCATTAGAATCACACAGATAACACCAATTTGGGGAAAAGCACCAGCTAGGTCTCTTCCTCTGAAGCTCATTGCAGGTATTAATTGCACCATGGAAAACCTCCCAACAAAAAGCACTCACTTTGGGAGGGGGGATCGGGCAACACCAAACTTCGTTTAATAGAAAGGGCACAATTGGCTAGCAAGAAGAAGACAAAGACATGAAGAAAGAAGCACAAGTGAAAACCCCAAAAGGATGTAAGGTCCATAGTTTACTATCCACTTTGCTAGTATCAAGGAAAACCCCATCAAGAATATGTAGGAGGTTTGAGACAAGACCCAACTCTGAATCCCTCACATTTCTGTGAAAACATAGGCTCCACCCAAACCCAAAAAACAGAAGAAGGGAACAAAAACTCAGAGATTGGTTTGCCCATAAAAGAAGAGAGGGAAAACAGAGAAGGAAAAGAATCCTTTAAAGGAGCTTCACCCACCCACAAGCCTTCCCAAAATTTAATTTTGTTACCTGAGTTAAGATCAAGCTTGATATGATTAAGTGGAAGACACTTCCAGGTCGCTTTCCAAGGTGAAGAACAAGAAGCCCGGCTAGAAATTCCAGCATCCCAACCATTCTCTAAGAGCCCATGAATGCTAACAATCACTTTGTGCCACAGTCTATCCGTTTAACTCGAGAATCTCCAAAGTCATTTCCCTAAAAGAGCCACATTCTTTTCTTTCAGCCTTCCTAAGCCCAGTCCTCCACACTCCTTGCTTCTACTCACTACTTCCCACCTAATCAAATAGTCCTTCTTTGCCTCACCCGGTTTCCATAGAAAGTCTCGTTATTTTCTTTAATTTTTTAACAACAGATTGAGACATGCTAAACACCGAGAGGTGGCAAACAGGAAGATAAGCTAAGGTAGATTCATAGTTTTCAAGGCACCAAGGCAAGGCTAGGCGACAGGGGGCGCCTTGTCGCCTAGGCGATGGATTTTTTTTTATGTAAAACCATACGTCCTAGGGTAGTTCCCTAGGTTCCATAACCATCTTTCCTTAATAATTATTCATAATTTTCATAAGGGAAGTATAAATTTCATGTTTAAGTCTAGAAAATCAACATTTTATGAGAAGAAAAAGAACAAAGGAAAGAAAATTCAAAAAATATAGGGGCTGAACCCCTACTTTTGTTATAGGAAAGAAGAAAAGAAAAGGTGGAAGAAGAAGAAGATGTGGAAGAAGAAAATGTGTTGATTAGACAAAATTTTAAGTTCTTCCCTTGCTTATTGGTTCAGGTTTTGAAATTTTTGAGGGTTCAATCAAGGATCAAAATTTTGATACAATACGCCCCGTATCGGGTGTATTGTATTGTATCTTTGGGGTCTCAATACCTGTTTACAGGTATTTTTGGGGACCCATTTTTTAAATAATATACATTTAAAAATGAAATTGAAAACCAAAGAAATAAAAAAATAGGGGGAGTATCGTTATAAGTACCGATGCACCTCTGCCAATACACAGAGGTGGCAGAGGTGTATTGATACTTTGAACCATGGGTTCAATACAGCAGTTAGCAATGTTTGTGTTGATTAAACCCTAACAAAATAAGAAAATAATAAAAAGAAATTAGTATATAAACACATAAAATGAATATTCTAGTTTAATAATGTCTATTTTATAATTATAATGTCAAAAATTAAAAATATAAAAGTATTTTATTACCCAGTGCACAAAACTGCTTGGCGACTAGGCGAGGTGAGCCTCCAAGGGCTCCTTGTCACCTAGGCGTCGCCTTGACAACTATGGGTAGATTTGATTAAAGTTATCCTACCTCCTAGTGAAACATAATTTCTCTTCCACACTACCAACTTCTTTTCAAATCTCTCTACTACCAGGTTCCAGAAAGCCAATGATCTAGGTTTTGCACCTAGAGGGAGACCTAAATATTTCATAAGCCAATCACTTGGATACACCTTAATTCCCTAGCCCATAAATCAATGTCTTTTTGCGCCAAATTGACCCCAGCCCCTACACTTTCATTAAGATTAACCTTTAAATTCATTATCTTCTCAAACAAACTCACTAACATCCTCAAATTCCTAGCCCCTGCCTCACCCTCGTCCTCACAAAAAATAATGATGTCATTCGCAAATTAAAGATGGGAGACCACTACACTATCTCTTCCCACTCTCCAACCCCTTAATGAGCCCATCTCATCAGCTCTCAAGATCAGTCTACTAAACACCTCTACCTTGATAGTGAACAAGAATAGTGATAGTGATTCATCAAAAAAGAATGGTGATAGTGGATCCCCTTGTCTCACACCTCTAAAAGCACCAAAAAAATCTTTAATCATCCCATTTACCAAGACTGAAAAATGGCAAGATTGCAAGCAACCTCTAATCCATTCACACCATCTTGCACCAAAGCCACAT